TTTCATTATTAATTGACAAATAACCTTAGAGACAAAACTGTTTACACATGAACTTTTTTTTAACTGAGTAAACAGTATATATATATATATATATATATATATATTTATATTTACAATAACATCACATCAATGACTTAACTGACATGTTCTGCTTATTCGTTGCACAGGTGGACCCCTTGCATATGGTTGCCAACCCCATATTTTCCTCCAATTTTCTGCCTCTCCCAGGATTTGGCCACAGTCCATACTATAGTGTTGGAGACTTCTCCCTGTGGCCTTATCAACATAGCAACTAGTAAGAATGCTGTTTCACACCATTTGTAATGACACTCCCATTGCTGGGAAAATTACCATTTAGCTGAAATGAACAAATACCTCTAATTAAAACAGAGGCTGTAATATCCAATACATCACATGTATAAATGTGGTTATACAGCCACATTTATCTGTGGTATTTATTTAGCTATTAAAGTGTTGTTTTTTTCAATAATCACACTTTATTGATTGGAAGCTAAAGGTCAAAATGGACGATTTTACCCAGAGCACAAAATGAGCAGGCTAAGTAAAAGATATGACATGCATTGTGCTGCTATATTAAGAACTTACAAAACCAGATTCAATAATATTCATGTCATTGCTGAATAGAAACCATAATTACAGGCATTCAAACCATAATGGGAAAAGATAAGGGTTTATGTAAAAAATAAAAAATAAAAAAAAACCCCTCAAACCTATCCATAAATCACTGATATAACAAGACATCACTTTGAGCTTTTGTTTATCCAAAGACCATACAATACACCCTTATTGTTGAAATAATGTTAATTCTCCCTATTATCTTACCCACAGTGTCAATTTTCCAAACAATGTAAATCCGTCAGCAGCGGGCAGACAGCGCTTCACGTGCCCAGCAAACAGTAAGGTTGATTTGCTCGGTTCTTTGAGGGGAAAATTGTAGCATGGTCTGCATCGGTGAGAAGGTGAGGTTAAGTGTGCCCTACATATTTCACGGGTCATCTGAGCTCCAGAATGAAGCCTCTAGAATTAGCCTCTAGTCACACAATAAAAAAAAAAAAAAAGACAATGGAAGGTTATGAACATCATGCGCATTCTCGTACTTGAGCAAGCATTTTTTTGCTTGGCGGGCCTGCAAACACATGCTATTATGTTGCTTTTAAAGCCAGCACTTACGTCCTTGTCCAAGGTAAAAATTCCTAAGTCGCCTTGTTCAGAGATGAAAGCCATTTAAAATGCTCTGCTGCAGAGTTGCAATTAAAGATAATGGGACAACATTTGAAGTGAAACATTGCAGAAGACATGCCAAAAAAGTGAGTTGTGTTTTCTTTACACTAAAATTATAGTTTTATATTATAATTTAATTTATAATTAAATTATAATTATAAATTTCTTTACACTAAATTTACTGTAAAAAGCTATTAACCTAAAATGGAGCGCTCACGGAAAAGGCCATTGGTAAAAGCTACAGTTGTCATGCGTACTGTGCTGGAGCAAGGAGATTCCAATCATTACAGAACAAAACACCAGGAAAGCACACAACACTGGGGGTAAGACGAACAATTCTGGACACTGGACATGGAAACACACAGGGCTTAAATTGTGGGACTAATCAAGGAATTAACTAAACACAGCTGGGAACAAATGAACTAATCGGGGAGCATAATGGGAACAGGAAGGACCAAATAAGGGCATAAGGAAACATAGGAACATGTGGGGGAGGAAAACACAACACATGGAACAGAGTCTGACATTACTGCCCCCTCCCGGAAGGCACGTCCTCGCGCCGAAAAAACTGAGATATATACCACAGAACAATAAGATGAAAGGAAAGACGTTGGATGATATCTTTATGGTGTATCTAGTGGTGCTGCATTGCTTCAGTACGCTTCAATATGCCGTACAGTATGTGGTCCTGCTTATTACGCCAGTGAGGAATACAAGAACCTGTCTATCACTAGCAGTTTTATGATGAGTCACTACCAATGAGATTTCTGCCTCTTCATGGCATCTGCTACCAAGTGCTGCATCTGTGATTTTAAGTTTTCGGGATGCATTATAAAGGTTTAAATGTCCTTTCAACAGGCAGCCATAGAATGAGAATGATTACACTGCCAACAATTAGTCACTGCTGATTATCTGCAATCAGTTACAGTAATTATTCAAATAGCAGTTATGTTAGGCAGGATCAGGGTAGGCTTTTTGACCCGGGCAAGGGGGTGGGTGCGTGCCTGGGGCCTCTATAGGTGAAAATTAGCAACCTCTGTGCATACACTGTGAGCTGACACTAGGGCTCTTGGCACATACGGTTGCTAACCGATTACGACCCTTGGACCCCCGGACCCTAGCCAGATACTTTTTTGAATGTTATTACGCCAGCGAGGAACACAAGAGCCTGTCTATCACTAGCAGTTTTATGATGAGTCACAAGCAATGAGATTTCTGCCTCTTCATGGCATCTGCTGCCAAGTGCTGCATCTGTGATTTTAAGTTTTCGGGATGCATTATAAAGGTTTAAATGTCCTTTCAACAGGCAGCCATAGAATGAGAATGATTACACTGCCAACAATTAGTCACTGCTGATTATCTGCAATCAGTTACAGTAATTATTCAAATAGCAGTTATGTTAGGCAGGATCAGTGTAGGCTTTTTGACCCGGGCAAGGGGGGGTGCCTGGGGCCTCTATAGGTGAAAATTAGCAACCTCTGTGCATACACTGTGAGCTGACACTAGGGCTCTTGGCACATACGGTTGCTAACCGATTACGACCCTTGGACCCCCGGACCCTAGCCAGATACTTTGCTTTTTGAATGTTTAAAATAAAACCCCACCTTTAAATACTTGTTTTTTTAATGTATAAAGACCAGCACTGCGTCCGAAATCCCATACTTCCCTACTTTATAGTAGGTGAAAAACAGTATGTGAGGCGAGTATAGTTTGTCCGAATTCATAGTATTTCAAAAACAGTAAGCAAAAAGTACCCGGATGACCTACTTCTTACGCCCAGATGCTGAAGTGCGCTCGATGGACACTTTACTATCCCATGAGGCCACGGGAGAGGATTTATGAATGACAGTGAAGCAACGCAACTAACGCTGGTAGGTCATGTGACAGTAACAACATGGCAGATGTAGTATGTCTGGATTTCATTCATACTACCCATATTCATACTATATAGAACATACTTTTTAAACAGTCGTGAATTAAAATTCAAATTCAAATGTAGTACCTACTCAGACAGTATGCGATTTCGGACACACCACAGTTTTTTCTAAAAATGTACATTCACAAAGCAAATGCCTTTATCCAAAATATTTTAAATATGTGTCAAATATTATCAAAATTAAATAGAAAATAACACATTACTGTCAATTTGTCATCTACTGTATGTAAAATGTATTTGCCTCATAATATTTAAATTATAAAATTCAAATGATCAAAGTATAACAATAATACAATTCTTCTTCTTCTTCTTATTATTATCATTATGTATTTATGTCTCATTATAATAATATTTAAATTATAAACAACAACAACGATAATTCTAATAATAACATTACCAACAATAAAACTAAATGAAAATCAGTACTGTAGTATTATTATTATATTGTTAGTCATCATCATCATAATCATCATCATCATTATTTAAATATTTTATAAAATATATTTTTTATTTTCTCTCAAAATTTCTGTGGACTACCTTCACTCCCTTGCAACTTTGAAAAACTCTTGCGGGGCATGGCTCCAAAAACCTGTACCCATGATGTGGCCCTTAGAAGGACAGCATCACGTCACAATGGGAATCATTGTCACATCTTTTCAGACTAAGTGCCGTTTTGGCCTTTCTTTTTGACCGTTTCTCTCTGAACAAAAAATTTAATCATCATGCACACAAAAGCACACACTTGATCGCTCCATCTGCAGCGGGGGCGCTGATAACCTGGAGCACAGATGTGCACCTGAACAGCGGCTGTGAAGAACTAAGCATGCGTTCAATCAATAATACAGCGCCCTTGCAGTGCTGCTCAGATCGTCTTCTCCCTGCCCTCCAGTGTCTGAAATATTTAAAGCGCTTGACATCAAATGAATACATTAATTTTAATTGTGCACATATCAGCTCTCAATCAGTGCTACGCTTCTTTTCTCTGCATCTCAGAGGAAGTGTGTAAATAACACAAACACATATACCACATGTTGCTTTGGCTTCTTTAGGCTAGACGCCTCTACACACCTCCAAATGAAACAAAGTTTATTTGCACTCACCATGTTCTCAGCCCATCTGGGGCGGTTAGATTTTAGAAGCTTCCAGCTTCATATAAAAGAAATTCATTGCATCAGAACATGCTAGGAAAAGTTTAAAAACGTCACGATTTACCCTCTAAATTTTTCTTTTAATTGCAAAAAATGTTTATTATTAAAATCATTTTTTAAATATATTTTTAAATATGATGTTTAAACCCCAGACTTTCATTCAGACTTTTGAACCTCACCATATAATGAATGTTTTTTGTTTTTTTTTGCAGAAATGCAACATATTTTCATCTTGTGTTCCATCTATTTTGCCAAATAATTATTTAAAAGTAAAATCTTGAAACAGAAATGCGGTGCTTGGAGTAATTCTTTCATGTTTCTCATTGCAGTTCCTCCAGGGTTCAAAGCGGCAGATGCCTTCACATTGTTCTGACCACCTGTTTTGTTCTCTCTTTTTGTTGTTTTGGCTGTTCATCTGCGTTTCTGTTAATCATAAGTTGTCATGTACTCCACATTGTATATGGACAGCTTTAATAAAGCAGTTACCTCAGATAAAATGTATTGTGTGAGCATTTTACTTTTAAACATCTAGGCTTTTCTGAAGGCTGTAATTTGTAGGTCTGCCACATATACAACAAAGCCAATACATCAAGGTAATTCATTGGGAGGAAACAAGATGGAAATAAAGCATAAACAGACTTTGAAAAAAAGCATGTCTATTGCAGACTCAGAACAGATGTTATTAAAAAGCCTAAGTTATATAATATGTATCTAAATCACTGCATTTCCACTGTGGAATATAATGCATATTTTATCATGCAGATGAAATATTTAGGATGCATATGATTTGATTTTATCTTCCTGGGGATTTTTCCTGTATACTTGCAATAAAGTTCCTGTCTAATTTTTGTTTTGTCATTTGTTAATATGCTTCTCTTTGATCAGTGTCCTGGATTATAAAAAAATGGAACATAAAATCATTACCTGGGCTTTTTGGTGCCAACCTCATTTATTTAAGCCATATCACACAATGCACCTTGAATGCTGTTGTTCACTAATATCAGCATGGATGTTAAGTTAATATTGAATAACTTGAGTAAGATGTTAGACATGAAATGGCCAGTTACTTTAGCAGTTTTCACTCTACCAACAAGAACTGTTCCAAACAAAGCCACAGAAGAATTAACAGAGCATCTAGCAACACGCAGTCTTACCATTTCTGAATGAATAAAGAGTTTCTGAATAAATCAGAGTAAACAATAAAAATAATCGATCATAAAGGCATCACTGGTTTCATTCCTGGATGAATCAGTGCCTCTGACTCAATCGCTGCGTCTGAAATCGAATACTTCCCTACTATGCAAGGGAAAAAAAACAGTATGTAAAGATTATATGTTTGAATTGACCCTTGACTGGGAGTCTGATTGATAGGCTGACAAATCTGACAAGTCATAATGCCAAATCTGCCATTTTGTCTGACAAACAAACCAGACAGGAGAGTAGATTAATGTATGTGGACTTGAACTTGAAAAATGATTTGTATTGATGTCTTTTTGCGGTTGAAACAAGATATCTTCTGATGTTCACTCATGTTTATCTCGTGCTATAACCAGTAAAGAGATGATCGGTTCACGTGCCGCTTGAACTGAGGCGCTATAGCGATCTGTCATGACACATTAAAGAGCCACAAAACTGTATGGAAGCCCGTTTCCGCCACTGAATACAAATAAAAATGGTAATTGTGGACTTTTTATCTCACAATTATGACTTTTTTTTCTCAGAACTGAGATATAAACTCACAATTGCAAGTTAGGCCTATAAAGTCAGAATTGCAAGATATAAACTCGCAATTCTGATAAAATATCAGTCCCCCCCCCCAGAATTGGACTTTATAACTTGCAATTGTGAGTTTATATCTCACAGTTCTGATAAAAAAAAAAAGTCAGACTTGCGGGACATAAACTGGCAATTGCGAGAAAAAAAGTTAGCAATTACGATATACAAACTCCCAATTCTGAGAAAAAAGTCAGAATTGTGGGTTTATTTCTAGCAATTGCGAGTTTATATCCTGCAATTCTGACTTAATTTCTCAGAATTGCGCTCGGCAAAGGAGAAGTGCTCACTAACACAGATTTAGACAGATTTGTGAACAATATTTGAGATAAATAGGCCTTTTGTGTACATAGAAAAAGTCTTAGATCTTTGAGTTCAGGTCATGAAAAATGGAGGCAAAAGCAAAAGTATTGCGTTTATAATTTTGTTCAGTGTATATACAATATACAAAACGAAACGTGAATGGTTGCT